GCGCCGGCCACGCCCACCGTTTCCCCTCTGGCAGCCGTGTGGTGGGGCCGGGGTGCGCGCGATTGGCCGGCAACCGGTTCGCGAGGTCGTACCTGCATTAATTATTCTAAATAAGTCGTCGCCCCTGCGGCGGCTGATTATAGAGTTTGCAGTGCCATAAATAGAACCCGTTTACAAATCGCGTTCGGGGAATAATGATCGCCGCGCGTCCCAGCGAGATCTCCCCCCTCCATCACCCTCCTCCGCCCTCCGCGTCCCGTCGAGTTTTTCGTTTTGCGAGCCCAACGAAAAACCCAATCAATCCCCGACGTACGAGACTCGCGATTGGTCTCGCCCTAGGCGTTTTCTCTTTTGGACTGGCGTCCTTTGGGGAACCGGGCGAGCGTTCTAACGAACGAATTAACTGCGTTTGCCACTGTCCCCCCTCTTAGCCTCGGATCCCGCGCCGGTTCTTGCCCGGAATACATTCGAACAGCGATCTTGGCGCGGGAGATGGATGACAGTGTGTCGAACCTTGAAATAGAAAGAGCCCTTTTGGCGTCCCTTAGTTCGCTCGACGGACTTATGGGCCCAGGGAGAATGAATTAACAGCTGACTCGGTTTTTCGTCTAGCGAGCCCTACCGGCCGTGATCGATTCGGAGATGCATCGCAGTGTCAAGACCCGGGACAAGAAGAGAGTATTCTTAACTCTGCTGCCGCCGGGATTTATAATTTCGTTTTACACGAGTACGCTGATCTTATAAACGATTATAGCGACGATAATCTGCATAGTTTTATCGTCCGTGTGACTGCGCCGATGTATGGAGAGTGGTACACGATGGGAATGATATTTGTTAATGTGTTGTACAAGATAATGAGAATGCTGATGGTGCATATCAGTGAGATTAAACGGCGTTGTTGTCAAACCTGATCCTGAGTATTTTTATAGAGTTATATATTTTAATCCTTAATTTAAGCAGCAAGGGTCTATATCTTTGTCGGTTGCTTTTTATTCGAGAAACGGTTGAACCAGGTAGGCATTCAACGAACGGAAATTTATAATTTCAATGATATATTTACCAGAATATTTTTTCTGAAACTTTAGAACAAATGAAAGAACAGATTTCAGACTTCATCTACTCAATTTCATAATATCCAGCTAAAATCTGACACTGATTGCTAAACAATGAATCATTCACAACAAATCCGTGTATATCGAGAGTTATATTTTTTCATTCGGAAGACGACGGTTCTGGTGACTGTAGGAATATCGATACCCCATATCTTTTTTCCCGTTTCGCTTGAAAACTGGCATAGACCACGGCTGGTTTCATAGACTGGGGCTACAATTGATGGATAGACACGTTAACGTTATTTATAGCGGCTGTCTCTATTATTGTTCTAACACGAATCGAGTTGGCGACTAACGATCGCTTTGTGGCTCACGTGGCAGCTGGTATCCCCTATAGGCGTGGTCATTAATAAAACTGTAGACCGTAACAACGATCTTACACGTTTCTTCGCGGACGCCAGCGTTGGCGGAACAAAGGAATCGCCTTCTGCCCCCCTGCCCCTCTCCTGTCAGTCGATCTGACCGCAGTTGTGTACCGATCAAATTTTAAAAGCCGCTCGCTCGAACGAGCCCGAGCTAACGGGCTTCTAACGAGTTAACTTACGGAAACAGGTGTATCGGTGCCCGGAAAATTGACGGACAAGTACTTTATCTGTAACGGTCGGTGTTACGATATTTGCATTACTGATCAAAGCCACGAACGGGTCGTATTTCCATGGTTATCGGTCGCTTTTCCGTTAGTTTTAATTACGGTTGCCCCGTTAACCTCGCGATCATTAACCATTCACTCCCACAAATACTCCTTTAGTGTAGGTTATTTATATATATACACATGCACATAAATATATTTATGTAAGTTGAAAGCGTTGAATTAAATTATTTGAAATTTTAATAAAATATGAAAGTCCGGTTTACGTTTATTGTAGACTCTGATCTGCAATTAATGGGAATTAATGTATGCTGTCGCGTGTAACCACGCGAGCCGACAGATGAACTCGGTAACGGAGTTTAATTTGCAGCGTTTTTAACGACGTCCCGTTATAAATCTCGCGTGTTTTTAATGAACGTGCTCCGGCACTTTCGTGTCGCTATCGAATTACGCTTCCGCGGGACAAGAGAGTATCGCGCGATTAGACGTTCGAGGGGGCTAATGGCTGTAATTTTCTTTCCACCGGTTAATGGCGGAGTGTGTCGTCACTGCTTCTAACGACCCTCATTACTGAATCGTCGACACTTACGCGATAAAAATCTGCGGGAACGATGGAGAAATCTGCACCTCGAGACATACATTTTCCTACGTTCGAACTCTATATTTTCATCTCCAATGAATCGTTTCGAATAATCGCGTACGGAATATCTCTGCCTACCCTCTCTGCTCGACAAACGTAATTGAAATAAATTTTTCAGTCCGCGCGAGACGTTCGCCGGTCACATTATAACCAAATAGGATTGCCGTATTAATTTGCTCGAGGTAGAATTCTACCCGCGATGTAATTTAGCAAGTTAATTACGGTCTGGTGAGTTGAGAATTTATGAATCTTATCAGCGATGCAAGATAGTCCAACAAAGTGAAAAAGTGTTCGGTGTTCCTTCGGAAGAGGTGCGCTTCATTTCCATTAATTTGTATGTGCAGATATGAAAAAGTTCTTGAGCGAACGTGTCAACCAGTTATGATAAAAATGTAACGCCTTCGGTTATGTACGACTGTCGGAAGTACGGTCGGGAAATTGGCGGCTAAAATCTTAATAGCAATCTTTAAGAAATCAATTAAAACCAAACATTAATCAGATCTGTTGCAGGTTTGCTATTTTCTTACCGCAACGAAACCATTCGGGGAAGAGCTTAGTTTTTATTTTACGTTGCAAGTGTGTTAAGATTTTCGTTTCAATTTAATTTAATGTAAACTACCACTATACATGTTTACGCTTTAATGATTGTAAAAATATATTGCCTGGGCACGGAATCTTACTCCGAAAATCTTAAAATTCCTTAAAGAAAGGTAATAATTTAGAAATACAAATAATATAATTCAAAGCATGGAGTTACGAATGTAAATTGGGCAGAAATTTTCGCAATTTTAAAATCACTATCCAAGATCCACCGCCTGCAGGAAACGAACGTTCGAAACGTGACTCACGTGACAACAGACACTCGAAATTTGGAAAGATAACGAGAAGAGAATGGGCGCAGAACGAAGACTGCAGATGAACATCTGCCGCGGGATAATACATTTGTTCGGAAACCGTCGTGAAAGTCCCCTCTCCACTCCTCGAAAAAAAAGGAAAGAGGAAAGGTGAAAGAGCTACATGTTCAGGCAAATTTTTGTATAAAGCAATTTCGACGGCGCGTATGATAAAATCCACGTCGGTGAGGGAACGCTCGTCGCCTCGAAGAAATGAATTAGCCGGCTCTACTCGCCAGAAGCCCGGAGTGGGGAGTAACAAAAGTATGGAGTAGTGGGTATCGAATGGTGGGAGGGGAGGCGATGTAGGCGTGGCTACGCGGGGAGGGGCAAACGTGTGGGCGAGATCTCGACGCGAGTCAATGGTGGGAGAACGAAACGGGGCGGGGAGAAGCCGACGATTTTACTGACATTCCCAGTGGCGCGGATACGGTGTCTTCAAGTAAAATCGCTGGATAAACGTAACTCCGACTAGACGAGCCCTCCTTCCCTCGCACAATTGTCAACATTACAAAAATACAGTTGCAATTCTTTCGTTGAAAGTAGAATCGTGAACTAATCGGCGTTACAAATTATAGAATCGAACTTAGAAACAGAAATAATTCTAAGGTAACAGTTCTTCGATGTTAAAGACTTTAAAAGTAAAAGTTTACATTGTCGTGGGCCATTCGATGCTTAATTAACCAAATCCAGCATTTCATAAGGATTCAATTGTTCCAGGCGATCAAGCGAAAGAGGCATAATTCCAAGGGGACGGAGAAGGCTAAGCTTTCTTCCCGGGAAGGGTAATAGGCGAAAGAGGAAAAAGAGTATTGGAGAGGACAAAAATCTCGTCACAGTTGGAACGAGACTGGAACGTTGCAGTGGGATCGATCGCGGTAGAACCGTAGGCCCCAGCCCCCTACTATCTGTGCCACTGGTGGTGGGGATGGCAGACGGGTGGGAGCCAGGGTAGATCCTTACGGCGGTAGGCGGAGCCAGTGACTGAAGAGTTAATAGAGATACAATCGAGGGTGTCTAGTGCACTGCACTCCGGGTCGGGGCGTAGGAGGAGTGAAGGGGCGCGCGGGGGACGGTGGGGAAAGCGGTAAGTAGGGACCACAGGTCCCCTAGTTTAGACATCACTGAGCGACGGATGGACAGCCAGTCAGACCCGTCACAGCACTCGCTCGAGTCCTCGGAAACCTCGAGAAAAGCCAATACCAAGGGGACCTCTCTGGGTCTTGGAGGTGATCCAGCCGTCGAACCGTTAATCTCGCTTCGGGCAACCAGTGACGCCGGACGCAGTTAGGTGGGCCTGTCACGTGTGACGCAACGTCACACGCAGCTTCATCGCGATCAGATTACGCAACGCGTCGGTGGACCGAGGACCTCGCGGAACTCGATGACAATCTTGTGCTGACGAACAATCCAGTGAAGATCGAGAGAAAGACAGAGATACAGAAGGAAGGAGAAAGAGAGAAGGACAGAGACAGCTAGATAGAAAGAGACAACAACAGGCACACCAATAGACCCTATGTGACACGTGCGCAGTGACATCGTAAAAACTTGGAAAATCTCGAATTGTGTTAGTGTCCGGACCAGTGTCAAACGCGTCGACTGTCAACCACGCGTAATCGGAGCACGACCGTAGTGACAAGTGTGAACCTGTGTCTCTTAAACATGACGATTGGAGATTAGCACCGGGAACTGTCAACGAATCGTTGCTACGAAAACCGACAGAGCAGTAATAAAGATAACACAGGCTGATCGATACGGTTCATAAAATGAGCGTAGCTCTCGTGACGATGGATTCCGCGTACGGTCTTCGACTGGGCCTGAGCAACCACCACCATCATCACCACCATCATCCTCACCGGGTGCGCTCGCCGGAGAGCCACGTGGTTCCGCGGCAGGAACAACCGCAAGATCACAAGGAAGACATTGAAACGCCGTTGAGGTTCAGCGTGGTCAACATCCTGAGACCCGACTTCGGCCGCGAGGCGATCCTCAACACGAAAGCGCCGAAACAGGCAAGTCTAGCGGCCGGACACCCGACGACCATACCGGTCCCGATCCCGCGGCACAGTCCCCTCTCGCTACCGCGGGATTTGAGCCTGTCCTCGAGCCGACTATCGCCCTCGAGGCCCCAGCCGGCCAGTTTTTCGGTGCACCGGGACAGAGACCTGTTTTCTTCGCATTGCGGGCTGACCTCGCCACTTCAGAGGAGCGCGGGCCTCAGCAGGAGCGGAAGCCTCGAGAGCCTGGCCAGCAGCAGGAGCTCCGTGACCGGAAGCTCAGTGACTGGAGCACCGTCCCTCGGCTCCACCTCGTCCACCATCAGCGGTGACTCGTTGAGCGGAGAGAGCACCGCCAGCAGCACGTCGAACACGGCCGCCAATCAGCCGGCCACGTTGAACGGGCAGAGCCCTTGGCCCGCGTGGGTTTACTGCACTAGATATTCGGACAGACCGTCTTCCGGTAAGTTTCTTTTTTCTTAAACGTTCAGAAGGTACGGAGCATTAAGATTAAGGGAAAGAAGTTTGCTAAATATACATATAGTTAGGTACAGGTATGAGATATTTGTACAGTACTATTGTAGACTGCTTGCGAGGTTAGAGGTGATATAATCGGAAGATCGAACGTAGCTAAGAGGAACAACAATGACAATTTATTCGTGGCTCGATCGACGGATAACTCCTTCGGCCGTGGACATTCGTCCGCGTTTCAGTTACATCCCCGTTAACAGATGGATAGATACGTCTCAGTTAATCGCGGGTATCAAGGAAGTCGTCGGGGACAACTAAGTAACCGATACTCACCGTTTCTCGTACCGCCATTTCTCAGTATCCATTTTAATCGATTTACTCCGGCGACCGTTACATCTGGAAACCAGTTCCTATGGAAATCGCGATGGCGTTTCCTCCGTTGGCGCTAGGAAACAGTCGCAGGACGCTATCGAAAAATCGGTCGCGGCGCATAAAGCTCGCCTAATTGCGCCTAGCCGCGCGCCGCGATCAGATTTCATAAAGAAATGCCTACCAGTTTCTCGTGCGCCGTCGTTCCAGTTCCGATTTAGTGTCACCGGCATCGTCGCATGACCGTCGATTTTAA